CATATTAGTTGCATACGATATATATATATATATATATATAATAAATTATCAAATGATCGCCTAAATATTGGGCTATAATATGGCTAATTAAATGATTGGAATAAAGTAATTTGACACTAGAGGTAGGCGTTAGGCGCCCTCTCTCTCTATATATATATAAATTATAATGTCAATCTAAACTCTAAAGCATAGTACAGATCACGGACGTTGGCAGAATTTTCCATAGGAGGACAAAGCTCGAAGATAAATAAATACATCAAGAAATTTTTATTACATTATCTAGTTTTTTAACGGTTTTCAGAAGAATACAAGATGGCATCAAAGTCATTTACGATATACATTTGTTGAAGTTTTTACTCGATCCGAAAAGAGGACAAGTGTTTCGTTTATCTCGTCTAAAGACGATCATAGTATAAAACGTTTCGCCTTAAATTTCTCTTGCATGTTGCAGTAGCGGTTAGAGTAGAATTTACAGCGGAACAGAGTGAAAATATTAGTACAAACGTTTTTTCGATGTAAGTAACATCTACGGAGAATTAGATGTGCCGTGTTGCCTGTTATTAGATGATGATGCTGTAAATTAGGCTTATGTAATTTTTCGTTAGCACTCATATCAAAGCCGCATCTGCCGTGGTAGAAGAAAGAAGCAAAAATTAATCGTGCCCCTCAAAATGGATTTACTAACTTCATAACTTATGAGAAAGAAAATATTATTTCCGTTCACCCTCCCCAATGCTGGTCAGTTCTCCCTACTGTGATTTTACCTTAAGACTCATCAAGCTGACATATCAAAAGATTTAATGTCTTATTAAGAAGTATTTGTAGATAATTTTTACAAAGAAAAAACTGAAAATAAAACATTCATTTTAATAATTGTGTAATTGACCTAAATGCTTATAATTGTATTTATTTCAGAATTTACAGGAATTTATACTAAATTTATTTATTTTTTTTTCACAGAACCAAAACAAATGCTAATAACTTCATTAATTAGATTTTAAAACCTTATTAGAAAAATATTTATTACAATAATAAAACAGTATTTGTGTTGTGCACTTTTTAATATTCCACGAATCCTCATTATCATCATCATCTTTGCAAGAACTTATTTAATAAGACATTAAGCATGAACATTTAAAAGACATTGTAGGTACTGAAAGTTACAACTCAAACAAATGTATAATTCTATTTCTTAAATTAGGTGTAGTGAATACGACATGGAAAACAATACATTGGATTTTCTGGAAAGTAATTCAACATCTAATGCTACATCCATTTATTATATCAACAAAGATCTTAAAATAACTAAGAATATATTTGTGATAGTTTCCCTAATAATTATAATGATTGCCATGGGTGCAGACATCTCTCGGAATCAGGTATTATTATTTATTTCTGTTTATTTCTTGTTTAATTAGCAGTAACTATTACATTTTTTACGTTAATAGATTTATAAAGGAATCCTAAAACCCGTTGGTCCAGCTATTGGTCTCTTTTGCCAATTTGTTATAATGACATTGATTGGATTTATTTATAACGTTATATTTCAATTCGAGTCGAGTCTAGCGGCTGGTTTGCTTATAATATCATGTTGTCCCGGAGGTGCTGTTTCTAACCTCTTTACATATTATTTGGATGGCGATGTTTCCCTGAGGTATGTAAGAATTGTTTACTATATTTAGCTACAGAGAATATTATCCATAAAATTAATATTTACCATGTCATAGTGTGACTATGACTACAATATCTATCGTAGCATCACTGGGCTTGATGCCTTTGAATCTTTGGATATATGCAAGTAATACAGAAGCCAAGAACTTAAAAATACCTTATGAAAATATTGCATTATCACTATTAATGATTGTTCCTCCCTTGATTTTGGGTATGATAATAAAATACAAAGCTCCTAAAGTATCTTCTTATATAACTAAGGTATAAAACATGATTTCCTAAATAGTTAAGGTGTTAAGTTTAATCATTTATATTATATTATGAAACTATTTCTGTTTTTATTAATAGTGGGAAAGTGCAACAAGTATGATAACGATTATAATTTTCGTGATAATGGAGATTATTTCCTCTCAACACATGTTTAGTATAGTATCGTGGAAAGTTATTATAACCTCTTTATTATCTCCCATAACTGGAATTATAATTGGATATGTCATAGCTTTCGTCAGTAGAAACTCCAAAGCAGCCTGCACTGCAATAGCTATTGAGAGCGGGATTCAGAATTTTTCTGTTGCATTCGGCATTATTGTTTTATCCTTTGATACCTCCATATGTATGTCTTTGATTTATATTGTAGATTGCAAGATTATGATTTTTGTAATTAGAAGAGACTTTACTCTTAGAAACAAACATCAATTATGCTGTTTCCATTTTTTTATGGGCTATTTCAAGGTGTATTCTGTTGCCTTCTCTCCCTAATTTTCTGTTTTATAAAGAGTAATTTGAACAAAATTCGAATGCAAGATAATGACGTCGATGATTCACAAAATACGGGTAATTATTATTATATAAATTATTTATTTATTTTCGTATATTTTAAACTATTTTTTTGTGTTGATTTTAAGTATTTTTTGTGATCGTGGATATCATTACTAACTAAAATTCAAATTATCTCTACACGTCACAAAATCGGAATATAATTGGAAACTATTATATTATTCAATGTTATTCTTAAACCTTGTATCAGTGTTGTTCAGAGACAGAGAGAGTAATGAATCATATCTCGAAAGCCGTTGAACTTATAAACATTTTACTCATTTTTAGCATTTATAATTTTTTAAAACTTATTTATGTCCTCAAAATTAATACTTTTGCGATTTTATTGCAATTAATAATATCAAATTGTTAAAATAAAATCTAATAGTAGATAGCGCCATACAAACTTTTATTAATTAGCATTAATAATATACAAGTTATTTTTTAAATAAAATTTCATAACAGCCGAGGAAGTTACCCAACTCGTTTCTGGATGTTTTAATTTGTATGACTGGCTGATTAATTACAATACATCGTAGCTTTGAATATGTATGATGCTGTGTACGTTGTCTACAGCTACACAGCATCACTAAATCAAGTTTATATACCAATCTAAACTTGATTTAGTATTTATTATATATTTTCTGAAACAAAATACAGTAGAGCGTCGATTTTCCGAAAGTCAATCATCCGAAAGAATTCCAGTCGACAAATTTAAATTTTCGCCAGTACTGTGGCGCTTCAATTTTTGGCTATGTCTTGGGCTACTCAAATATTTTACGTTTTTGATACTAAATTAACTTCTGAAGTATAATTTTTTATTGTTTTTTTATTTTTCAATATATTTATTTTGTTTGTACAAAATAAAAAAATAATTTTTAACGATACAATAGTCTTTGTTAGGCTTAACATCGACGAAAATTCAACGCGAAGCGACACGCAACGGATAAAAATTTCGACATCGGATACGTTAAACTATTTTTTCGTACGTAAATCAGTTATCCGAAATATCAGTTATCCGGACAACCCCAGTTCCCAATTCATTCGGAAAATCGACGCTCTATTGTATACGAAATCAATCCCATAAAAAGTGTTTTATATAGTCAAGAAATAGATTAACTGCGATCTGTAGTGAACATATTGCTGATTATTATGCAATGAGCTTTAAATTATTCATTAAAGATATGTTTTATAATGTAGTGAAGTCAATAGTCAGAAATGAACATTGAGTAATAAAGCTGAAATCATAAGTAACAATGCAAATTGCAGGTTTTCGTAATATTAACATTATATTCCTCAATCTATCCACACATTTACTAAAATGTTTTCATCTTTAGATGACCTCTTGTGCGTTTATCGAAAGATTTCTTTGACCACATGTCACAGGTGGTGTCAGTCCTGATTCGAGTGGGTGCTGTTTGATCTTTCACACTTTAAATTTATGCTCCTGTGGGATTTCTCAAACCCATAAATTGCCTTACATGAAATTCCTTTCCAACTTCGATCGTTTACTTTTCACACAAGACTCGCCCAAAATCCTCCAAGAAAATCGAAAATGACAGTCTTTAACGGACTTATCAGCCGCCCGCGGCAATCACATTTATAATTTTCAATAAAACTCTATCAATATAATATAAATTTATATTGAAAGAATTTCCGTATGATCTGGAAAATTCCTGATTACAGAGAAATTATTTTAGATATCTTCTATAAACTTCGTTGCCTAATAAGAATTTCAAAATTAATATTCATAAAGTTGTTTTTCATTGAATCTTTAACAGCTGAAAGATCAGTTTTATTCTCGTCTGAAGATTCGACACAACCGAAAGTCGACATAAAATAAAAGAGTCATTTTATGGTAAGTTTTCCGACATATTACTTTTAAAATAATTTATTTTATATGTAATCTGAGTGCTTTAATTACTCTATAGGAAGTTCCAGATTAAGAACATTACGAGTCGTAGACAAAGCTTGGAATGCGGACTTTTAAGAAATAATTAACAATTTTATTTTTTACATTTATGAACAATAACAGTCTAATTTAATGTCACTATGTTAGATTAGTTCATTGTACACTTTAAATTTGTATACTTTAATTTATATGTGAATTTGCAAACGGATTTAAGGAATCCTGCCATAGGCAATTGTCTTCTTTGCATAGATATAAGTCTGGTCTGATAGAGATGGCCAGGCATACGATGTCAGCCTATAGCGCTGGGAAAGTCCAGATCGATTCGGAACAGGTCGAAAAACACTTTGAATTTTTTGGGAGGTGAGCCGTTCAGGTATATCGGGCTTCATTCCTCACTAGATTCGACCGAACCCATAATGGGTTGATGAAAAGGTCCTCTTAGGTGCTCATAGGGATGAAAAATTAGAATAACTTCAAAAAATGTTTTAGAATGAATAATAATTTAATTTTCTTTCTTGATAGTTTCTCTTCGGAATTCTGTATTCCCTCATAGAATATCAAATAATGTTTGTTTGAAGTAAATTACATTTAACGGGAAGTAAAAAATGCACAATAACTTAGTTGATTATGCACTTTTTCCCCATTTATCCTTGTATAATTTCTTTTATACAATAAAAATTTTGACTACTTTTTACTTTGCATTTTCATTTATATGTGTATATATTTCCATTATACTTTTATTACAGTTTGAAGTGAACGAACATAATATTTTCTTATGGCATTATAGATCTTTGAAATTTAGACTAAACGGAATAAAACATTGACATAATTTCATGCGAATTCGAAGAAACGAGTAAAGAATATCTTTCATTAAATTTGGTTTTGTTTGCACTTATTTCTGTTGTAAGCCGAAAGTCCTTTTCCGCCTAAGATTAATATCGTGTTTTTGAAATAATATAATTTTAATTTGTTTTTTATGTTAAAATTGAGTTTTTAAAAGAACAACACTTGAAAGAAAAGGTTGCTTTTTTCGTGCTTTGCCTATAGTGAGACATAATTATAAAATGGCATCTAAACGACGAAGTGTCGTTATTTTCACATGTAGGGCTTAGTCGCTCGAAAGTTTCGGGAGTACAGTTAGTTATTAAAGGTATTTAGTTCCGATCCTATTTTGAATCCGCCTATAGACAGCCAAGACGGGATCGAATCCGGAAAACCCCATAGAACTTTTACTGATAATCTGATAAAAATGTGTTGCGCTCCGTCTTTCACCATTGGGACGTCCAATTGTGAGCATGGACGAATGTATTGATACAATGGGCCTGAAAAGAAAAGGTTCTCTTAATGCCTACAGGATGGATACAATCAAAGAATATAACTTAAATAATTCAAAAAACTTCGAGAGTTAAAATTAAATTTAATTATTCGAAATTAAAACGCGTAATTTTTTAAATATTACGAAATGAACATTATATAATAATTTGTGAAACCGTTTTTAAAAATAGGGCATAACATCGAAGTAGAAGTACTCAAATTCATCTTTCAATCTCAATCCATATTGCAAATCTTTAAAACTTTGAATTCCTTCGAAACGGATTGTAGTAATTTGCCGAGGGGACTGATTCTTGTTATTTTCTGCAACGATGTGTTTCTCAACAATTTTAACAATCACTCGATAAAATGTAAACTTTGCAATCCGTAGAGGACCATGAAATAAAATACATCCGTTCGTATTACATGCTTTTCCGAAATGGTATTTCTTCCGAGAGATCGAGTTAAAATAAAAATACAAATTTACAGATATACCTTTTTCCCTGCAATGTGTTATAGGAAGATGCAATTTCTTGATATAACAATCTTCCTTAGCAACTATGTCGCATATAAATCGAATATTTGTATTCATTCTTTTTACTTTGTTAATAATGTATGCACTTCGATTTACATAAGACAACCAGGAAGAGAGCAATTCGTGCTTTCTTGGGCATTTAATGGCACAAATTCTATCAGGATTCAACCATGTCTCGTCAAAATCCTTATTTTGCAAGTAACATCTTATTGCATCTCTTTCTACGTCCGTTAAGATCGGTTCGACGAATACTTGAGATTCCAGAAACCATTCTGGTATTGTCAGAAATCGCATGTACGGAAGAAATGGTTTCACGACTTGCCTTAAGAGATTTTTTATTATTAACTTTTTTCTTGACCCATTTTAAAACTATTGTGAAGATGTATGTTTCGTCAATATGTATATTTACTGGCCTACGAACGAGTCTATCCATGGTTGTTGCTTCACAGTTCAGCCGTTCGTTTGATGGGAAAATTTCCTGCCATTTCGAACTTAATATATTCGAACACAAGTATTGTAATCTCTTGTCGTTCTGTTGACATGCTAAGTCATGCACTGTACATAACACACGTTCTTAACTCTTGACGGAATGGTCAGGAATTCTCGACATGCTTGATTTAAATTACGTAGGCCTAATCGTTTGCTTATACAAAACTAGCAGGTGGGCCCGGCGTTGCTCGGGCAAAAGTAACGTTACAGTCAACCTTACCCGTTTTCACAGAATGCAAGAATTGGGTCCCCTTAGAGAATTTTTAGATGGGTCTAAAAATATGTTCGATTTCCCGCAAAAACGAAAAAACTGCGTCTGCGTATCGCACGTCGCTTTCTCTTAATAATTCCATTGTTACGTAAGATTTCCATTGTTCACACTTCCATTGTTACTTAAAACTTTTATTGTTACTTAAAACTTCCATTGTTACTTTGCACTTCCATTGTAACTTAGCACTTCCATTGTTACTTAACACTTCCATTGTTACTTAACACTTCCATTGTTAACACTTCCATTGTTACTTAAAACTTTTATTGTTACTTAAAACTTCCATTGTTACTTAGCACTTCCATTGTTACCTAACACCGCCATTGTTACTTAACACTTCCATTGTTGATGGAATTGTTAAGCCTTAATCCTGTCTTTCTCCCCCCCGGGAGGAATTTCGAAAAATCCCTTCTTAGTGTGCGTTTTCGTGACGTACCCTATCTGTGTACCAAATTTCAGCTTCCAACTCCTAACCGTTTGGGCTCTGCACTTATTATTATCATTATTATTATTATCAACCCGTCTCGATTATATTATAGATATGTCCGTTGCATTCTGCATTGATTTTACGATTTCTCGTCCTTCTTCCAGATATTTATAAACAAAAAATACGATTAAAAAGGAACTATAATTAGAAACACTGTATGTGATTTAAAACTAATGGTAATTATCGTTATAGCAGACGAAAACGATATTAATGCAAATTAGAATATGTCAACGTAAGTATTTAAAAGATAATTACAGAAACTCACTCTTTAATTTGTTTTAAAATATTCGAGGAGCATGGATTTTAATCTATCACTACATTTACACAAAATGGATTTCTGTTGTTTGTAATTGCAGAATATCGTAATCCGATCCATTTATCTTAAATAAATTTTAAATGTGAGAAATACTGTAAATAATGTAAAGAAAATTATTGTCGAATTTACAGTACTGTTTCGTTATAAATACCTTCGTACAGTATTGACTTTAAAAATTAATCGTAATTAAATTTAACAATGGCTAGAACTGTTTAATAACTTTTAACAGTTTTAACTCTTATTTAGTAGTCCAAATGCAACAAAATATTGAATGGTGATATTTCAGGAAGACGTATGAACATTTTTACCAACACATCACTTTGGCACTTTTGGCGCTATATGCAACAAGCATTTTATTTATTCAAGACACTCGCGCTATATAGCTTCGTATTCTATTTAAAAATTTAATCTTGTTATATTTGTGGATATTATTATTATTAACACCTGATCAAGCACGTCTATTTCATACTTTATGTTGTAAAAGATTGCTAAGTCTGATGTCTTTTTATTGTCTATTCTAATGCCCTCTTGAGAGTGTAGGTTATTAAAAAAAAATTACGTTTTCCTTTTTTTTCTACGGCAAATTTTCAAGGTGTAGTCATGGTTTTTCATGTCCCAAACGTCTTGTGGGTTCCTCACCCTTTTTAGCTTTAGATGAGATCTCTCGTTTATCAATTCATTAGTTTCAACTACACTATTACTGTTCTATTTCAAGTTTTTATCAAATCCCAGAAAATGAAAAAGTTTTCGGTAGTTACTTTGTTCTGTGGTTCACTCTTATGAAAGCCTGAGCAGGATCCATTGTTCTAGGACAGTGGTTCTCAACAGGGGGTACATGTACCCCTAGGGGTACAATCGTACATCAAAGGGGTACATCTAACTTTCATTATAAAATGGCGTATGTTAATCAATTTGCTGTAAATTATTAACAAGAAACGACAAAAACTTGCTTTAAAATATCCCAGTATGAACACCGATTTCCCTTTTAACAGTCCAAACAACTTGTTTATCCACTTGATTTGTGCTGTTAGTGCCGAGTGAACCTGTAGTCTAGTAAAATTATTATTATAATTTAATTATTGCTAGATAACATTGGGGCTTTTCGTGTTTTTCTGGATTACTGGTATTAGGAATAACGAGACCTGGATCGTTCCCCCACCATGCAATGCGTGTCACTGCATGCGTGCATTACTTGATATTTTGCAAATTTAGACGTTACGTTCGTTATAAGAATTAAAAGATTCTTGTATCGTTCTGAACTTTAAAAATTCGCAGCCATTACTTTCAAGGTCAGTACACAATTATAATTTTTATTTAATTAATTCTTCGTTAGGTGTGGGATCTTTTTTTAGGGCTCGTTTTTAGTTTGTATTCGCTTGTGCCAATAAATATACATGGCCTATGANGTGTGTAAGCCGTTACAAATAAAAAGACTCCTCACAACTGCCAATCATCCCTCCTGTAATGGTGTCGTTGAACAATTTAACAAAACTTTAATTGATATCCTATCTCACTATGTGGCCAAGGACCAGAGAGATTGGGACGAATAGATCCCTTACGCTTTACTTGCCTATAATACGTCTACCCATGCATCCACAAATGAAAGTCCCTTTTTCCTTTTATATGGGATAGACCCAACTTATCCATTTAACCTAGTTACAAGCCCTGCTATCATATCCTATGATGTGGAAACCAATTTCGCCTCTGAATTACAATTACAAATGCAAAGCGCCCATCAAACAGTTCAAAAATTTTCCGAACAAGCGGCAGAGGCGAGGCAAATTAGACACCACCAACAAAATAAACCGCCATGCTATCAGCTGGGAGATCGAGTGTTATTAAAGGAAGTTGTTGTACCCAAAGGCCAAAAACAGAAATTAGCTCCTGGATGGTCGGGACCTTATCGAATTATTGAAATCCTCGGTCCCGTTAATTTTAAGATTAAAAATATTAACACTAAACGAACTCTACATGTACACGCCGACCGAATTAAACCAACTAGCGCTAGACAGGAATTCAACCTTGACCCAGAAACACCAACCAAATCACTCATCTCCACACCGGAAGAAGATACAACGGAGCAGCAACAACATCTCATATCCGACCCCTGGGATGAATTTATTTTGTCTTCTATCCCTACCACTCCTCCAGAAGGATCTCCGGAATCAGAGGATG